TTGAAGCTGCTCAGCTGTGCCACGTTTAGGGCAGGGCAATAAATCAAAACCAAATATATCTCAGTGGACACCATCATCAATATCAACATAAAATAAATCTCCTGAACTCTGATCCGGAACCACATGTTATGCTGGGAGATGTAGGCAGAGGAAAGATTTAAGCTTCTCATCTTTTCACAGCCAAACTAAACAAAAAGCTGGCAGGAGGGCTGGCCGCTTTTTAAAGGTTAAATTTAAATATGGTTACTATTTAGATTAGGACTCATGTGTGGAACTCGTGTATTAGATATGGTACACTTAGTGTTAAAAGGTTAAATTAGATATGATGGGTCTGTTTGGTAAATAGGTTTATAGTAAAGTGCAGTGTTTTCTTTTTGGAGGGTAAAAGATTAAAAGGAGTTAAGAATTAAAATATAATAATAATGATAATAACAATTTAACTTTATTAATCTCACATTGGAGAAATTTACCTCTGCATTTAACCCATCCCCTTGGGGAGCAGTGGGCTGCCATTGTGTGGCCCCCGGGGAGCAGTGTGGGGTTAAGGGTCTTGCTCAGGGACCCATAGTGGGAGTCTGTGGGAGTGGGGTACACACTCAGAACCTCAGGATTTCAAGCTCTGTGTCCTAACTACTAGGGCGCCACTCACCTAACAGGCTTACAGGTGCTGGTCATAAAATTAGAATATCATGAAAAAGTAGATTGATTTCAGTAATTCCATTTAAAAAGTGAAACTTGTATATTATATTCATACATTACATACAAACTCATATATTTCAGATGTTTATTTTGTTTAATTTTGATGATTACAAATGACAACAAATGAAAATCTCAAATTCATCATATCAGAAAATTAGAATATTACTGAAGACCAATAAAAACAAAGGATTTATAGAAATGTTGGCCAACTGAAAAGTATGAACATGAAAAGTATGAGCATGTACAGCACTCAGTATTTAGTTGGGCCTCCTTTGGCCTGTATTACTGCAGCAATGCGGCGTGGCATGGAGTCGATCAGTCTGTGGCACTGCTCAGGTGTTATGATAGCCCAGGTTGCTCTAATAGTGGCTTTTAGCTCTTCTGAATTGTTGGGTCTGGTGTATTGCATCTTCTTCTTCACAATACCCCATAGATTTTCTATGGGGTTAAGGTCAGGAGAGTTTGCTGGCCAATTAAGAACAGGGATACCATGGTCCTTCAACCAGGTACTGGTAGCTTTGGCACTGTGTGCAGGTGCCAAGTCCTGTTGGAAAATGAAATCTGCATCTCCAAAAAGTTGGTCAGCTGCAGGAAGCATGAAGTGCTCTAAAACTTCCTGGTATGTGGCTGCGTTGACCCTGGACCTCAGAAAACACAATGGACCAACACCAGCAGATGACATGGCACCCCAAACCATCACTGACTGTGGAAACTTTACACTGGACTTCAAGCAACGTGGATGAAGTGCCTCTCTTCTTTTCCTCCAGACTCTGGGACCTTGATTTCCAAAGGAAATGCAAAATTTACTTTCATCAGAGAACATGACTTTGGACCACTCACCAGCAGTCCAGTCCTGTTTCTCTTTAGCCCAGGCAAGACGCTTCTGACGCTGTCTGTGGTTCAAGAGTGGCTTGACACAAGGAATGCGACAGCAGAAACCCATGTCTTTCATACGTCTGTGTGTGGTGGTTCTTGAAGCACTCACTCCAGCTGCAGTCCACTCTTTGTGAATCTCCCCCACATTTTTGAATGGGTTTTGTTTCACAATCCTCTCCAGGGTGCGGTTATCTCTCTTGCTTGTACACTTTTTTCGACCACATCTTTTCCTTCCCTTCGCCTCTCTATTAATGTGCTTGGACACTGAGCTCTGTGAACAGCCAGCCTCTTTAGCGATGACCTTTTGTGTCTTGCCCTCCTTGTGCAAGGTGTCGATGGTCGTCTTTTGGACAACTGTCAAGTCAGCAGTCTTCCCCATGATTGTGTAGCCTATAGAACTAGACTGAAAGACCATTTAAAGGCTTTTGCAGGTGGTTTGAGTTAATTAGCTGATTAGAGTGTGGCACCAGGGGCCATCAATTTTGAACCTTTTCACAATATTCTAATTTTCTGATATGATGAATTTGAGATTTTCATTTGTTGTCATTTTTAATCATCAAAATTAAACAAAATAAACATCTGAAATATATGAGTTTGTATGTAATGTATGAATATAATATACAAGTTTCACTTTTTAAATGGAATTACTGAAATCAATCAACTTTTTCATGATATTCTAATTTTATGACCAGCACCTGTATTTGAGAAAATATGGATTATTTTTCCTTCAGGCTAATTTGTCATAGAATCCACCAAAGCGTGTGGTTGTGATGCACCAAAAAGAGACGCTGTAGGTTAAAATGAAGCTCTCTGTGGTTTAAACCTGAATCAATCTGCTTTGGCAGGTAAAATTTCTAATCAATAACTTTGATCAATCAGTTGATTCACTTCCTAAATGGTGAGACTACTGAATGCGAACAATTAGCTAATGACATTTACATCAAGTGGCTGATGACCTGGACGGTGACTAAGGTTCAAAATGATCACCAGGGCAGTTGTGTCCTCTGCTGATTTATCTTATCTGTAGAACATTTGTTGTGCACAGAGGATGTCAGCAGGTTAAAGCGCTGCAGTGAGGAGGAAGCCTGTGTTTTCAGACAGAGCTGGACAGCAGGCAAAATGGCACAGGATGTTGATATGCTGTGCAGCCCAACAGCCTGAGGACAAAATGTGGGGACATGTCCAAGAAGACCTGAGAGGAAGAACGTTTGGGTTCACACTGAATTCAAAAGGGGGCCATTTTCTTTTAAATCGGCTCATATTCTGATTAACATGTTTGTTTTAACATATTTATGAAATTATAAATGTAACTAGTTAGAGTTAAACTTTGTGTGAAACTAAATGAAAGTCTCTTTCTGGGCAGCAGCAGTGTTGAGTTAAAAGATGGAGGTTTATGCAATGCAGGCAGCAGGATTATCCACCAGATATTAAAAATTCATCATCACGTATGAGATGATCATGATGGCTCCTGCTGTAGTATGTGGCAGAGCAGCTTATGAGGAAACTTGTTCATGGTTTTCCATCTATTTGCTTTTATTTTACAATTTTATGATCCTCATCAGTAGAATTATGCTTCTTTTTCTTGGCTTTCTTCCCATTGGGTCTCTTTAACCCTTTATAGGGCTTTCAGTGAAAATCAGAATTTCAAGCAAATAGTGTTATTGGAATCCAGGACCAGACCTTGTTACTTTTTTAACATTTTTAAAAAATACAGATATTTTGATGGCAACAATTGATGTCAATAAATTAACAAGAAATGCCAACTTGCCCGAATATATTATAAAAAAACAAAACAAAAGTGCTTCTATAAGAAATTCATGAAAAGAAAAAAATATTTGTTTTTGGTACAACACAACCTTAGAGGCATTAATGTTGATACTGGCTCTTACATTTTTTACGGTACAAAAAATGTAGCCTCAGTTTCCTGTTCTTAGCTGAAAGGAGTGGCACCCGGTGTGGTCTTCTGCTGCGGTAGCCCATCTGCCTCAAAGTTCGACGTACTGTGCGTTCAGAGATGCTCTTCTGCCCACCTTGGTTGTAACGGGTGGTTATTTGAGTCACTGTTGCCCTTCTATCAGCTCGAACCAGTCTGGCCATTCTCCTCTGACCTCTGGCATCAACAAGGCATTTCCGCCCACAGAACTGCCGCTCACTGGATGTTTTTTCTTTTTCGGACCATTCTCTGTAAACCCTAGAGATGGTTGTGCGTGAAAATCCCAGTAGATCAGCAGTTTCTGAAATACTCAGACCAGCCCTTCTGGCACCAACAATCATGCCACGTTCAAAGTCACTCAAATCACCTTTCTTCCCCATACTGATGCTCGGTTTGAACTGCAGGAGATTGTCTTGACCATGTCTACATGCCTAAATGCACTGAGTTGCCGCCATGTGATTGGCTGCTTATAAATTAAGTGTTGACGAGCAGTTGGACAGGTGTACCTAATAAAGTGGCTGGTGAGTGTATATATCTTTCAAGGGCTCATCTAATTGGTCAAATGCCAAATAAGATGTACAGCCATGTAGCAGTATCTTTGTTGAATGGCTGGATATAGATCTTGTGCTTCTAGACTTCACTGAGGGATGTGTGGGGGTGGGGGGTCTCCATTTGTAAGGGGTATGCAAGTGAGCAAAAACAGTAACTTGCTCTGTAAAAGCTTAACAGTTCGGACTGGAGGCTTTAACAGAACTCTAATACTTTTAATGAGTGAAACCGTTTAATTTACGCAGCTGTTAGATTATCTGAATTTCTGGCATCTTGTATTTGACTGAGCTCATATACTTTAATAATCCCACAGATCCCAGAAGCACTGCTGCCAAATTCAGAGGACCCTTAATTATCTACATATAAATGGAAAAGTAACTGCGTGTGTTAGAGGAGAGTAAAAGATGAAAATAATTAAATAAGCAGACATTTTAATAATGCATGTAATGTGTTTTAACAGGCTAGTTAAAATGTAATGGTATCAATCAAAATCTGCCTTTTGTAACCTGTTTAAAACAGATCTTAGAGCTCCCTCTTGTGGTGGATTCTTTTTCTGCAGTCAAACAAAGTTCATGATTTCCATGAAAAAAAGTATCATTATATAGACAACAATCACTAATTCTAAATTTATAGTTATTACTTTGATTTATGTTGGATTTACAGCAGCATTGGAGTTTGGAGCAAAGGTGCCTTCATTTCTTTTAGGTACAATAATTTAAAGTAGCGACTTTTATCCTTGACAGTGAAGCCACTGAGCATAGAATGTCAGCGTTGTCAGCAAATAGGCTTTTTTTTTTTGTCCGCCTCAAGGCATCTTTTTCTGAATAAATATACAGGATCAACATCTGCCCGTATTATTTGAAACTCCTGACATATTCTCCAGATCTAATAATTCCATTTAAATTATTATTAAGCTTTAAAGAGAGACAGAAATAAGAAAAACTGATTACAAAACTTGTTTTTATTTTGTTTGTGAAATAAAACAAACATCTAAGGAGAGTCTGGGAAACACAATGAAAGGATGCTTGGGGCAGAAGGCATTAAAGAGACACATTGTGGTATTCAGGTCGTTCAAAATAAGGCCGAATTTCAGCGCTGAATGTTTCCATCAATTCGATTCAAAGCAGCTGGAATATTTCACTGAAGCTCTACAGTAAATTCCAACCGACAAACCGCAGATGAACAGACTTTTTACTCCGAAAGACAAGCTCAGACAAAAAACATAAAAATAAAAAAATCACAGCTGGGCGAGTGGGTCTGCTTTACGATGTGTCCATGGAGGCCGATTCTGAAATGACACAAGAAATGACCACATTTATTTATCTGACTGAGGTTCAGGCTGACAGAACAAGATGCTTTAGAAATTCATATAATTAAATTAAAGCATATTTGATCTTCCTCTCCTGCAAATACACAACCATTTTCTTACATAAGAAAAAGCATTTTATCCTTCTGTTTATATGAAGTTATTAGTTTTTCTGTCCCATATCGGATTGGAACATGCCTAAAAATATCAGTTTTTATCAGCCTCCTGATAAAAACAGTTCTTCTGTCTAAAGTTTATGTAATCTGTTGGTTAACTAGTGTTAATGACACTATATTTACAATTTCTAGTTTTTTGTGTGGATAAAAACGTTAATAACAGTAATAAAATAGTTTTTAACTGAAACTCTCTGCCACATAGAGCAGGGTGTCCATGACCCCTAGGGGGTCCAGTAGGAACTATCGCGAAAGTTTTGGTTGATTAGACTTTTTATTTATATTTCTCCCTGCAATTTTTTCCACTAATTGAAATGTCTTTAAATTCACATTAATATGAATTAAACACACTGTAGTAAACAGATAAATAGAGGCAGAAGATGTCTTTCAGTCATCAATGCACTCAATGCCGTTTCTTTTGACTCTTTTTTTTCTGAGCAATGTCCTCAGCTGACTTTTCATGCTTTCTCACAAGGAATGAAAGATTTTTTCCAATCACTAATCCCATTATAACTTAGCTGATTGCTCCTTCCTGTGTTTCCAAAAAGGCTAAAGCAAAGTAAATAAAGTCCTTCTTTTCAATGTAGACAATCCATGATCTGCTTATCTGTTCTCCTTTTTTCATTTGGATGAAATAACAGCTGCATGAATCATGGAAGCAGACAAGATAGAGGAGAGGGTTATAAATCTACTTGCTCTGGAGAGCAGAGTTCGCTGCTTTTAGAAGTAGTTGCTAAAGTAGCAGAAAAAAGTTGCTAGATTTGGCGCTAGGTTCTTTTTTAAACAAAAGTGCTAGAGGGATCTGAAAAGTCACTTAATATAGCGACAAAAGTGCTAAGTTGGCAACACTACTCTTCACATCGTTTGTTTTCAAAGGGTTTGCTGCCGTTTGTTTGGACCTTTCTGAATATGCACTGCAAATGGACTGATCCAATATGGTGGACACTGAAGGGGGGGCTGAGACATACCTATTATCAGCATTCTGATGGCGGTTTAACTTAAGTATTTTTATCAAAAACATAATTAATATGCACAAATAAGTAATAAAAAAAATGAGATTTATGGGCCCCCAGGGACTTGGGGCTCTAGGCAACTGCCTAGTTTTGCCTGATAGTAAACCAGCCCCAGATTATAAAGCCAATTAAAGCCATGATTATAGATTGATGAAGACCTTTTAAGGATCCGCAGTGACCCTGCCATAATGACATCTTTCATTTCTGCTCTCATCATATTTCAGCCTTTAGACCAATAAACAGGATGTTGCTTCATGGCAGCAGGTTCTCCAAGCTGCTTAGATGAGTAAAAGTCAACTTTACCACTTTGCTTTGAATCCAAGTTGAACATAAAGAAGCAAACTGAGAATCTGCAGTTGAAATGAAAACTCACGTGCTTCGTTGAACAGGAAGGAATCCTGATATTCCTTCATGTACTGGGAGGAGCGGGCCTCATCCAGGAACAGCGAGTAAACCCTTTTAATGTCCTCCACCTGAACCTCCGTCCCCTGAGGAAATAAAACCCAGTCATCACCCAGCAGCTCATGTTTACAAACCTAAACATGAAGCTGCAGCTACACCAGAGCGGGAAAACAACCACGCAGCTGACACTGCTTCTCTACCGCATCTAAAACTAATGAGGCCAATGGAGGCAAACATCAGCGAATTTTTTACTTATCAGATCTGCTTTTCAAACTGACTAACAGGCGGTTCACCAGGCAGACGAGGATGGCTTGCTCTCGTTTCCACACAGCCTACCTTGCGTTTACGACACACCAGCCCCGCCGTGCTGATCAGCTGGATGGCGTAGCGCAGCGACGTCTCCATGCCGATCCGAGTGAGGACCGTGTGCGCCTCCTCGCTCAGCTCCACGTCTTCCTCTTCGCACCTAAAAACCGGAAGAACCAAATTAATACCCTCCATTCTTTTTGCTAAGAGAGGAGATCTCAGCGAATGAGGATCCTCACCGGATCTTTAGGATCTGCCTCGTCTCTTTCTCTGTGTAAGGAGACGTGGCGATGATCAGCAAACGGTCCAGCAGGTCGATGGGGATCCCATGAGGGCTCTGGTAGTTTGTTCCACGGATCCTGCATGGAGGTCAAAGGTCAGTATATGATGAAAACACTGAAACAGCTTACCATGTTATTCATCGACACCAGTCTGGTCCAGTTTAGTTTAAAGCTGAGGCTGATTGCTTTAGCATCAGTCTAACCGATCCTCAATACGCTCTACTGATATTTCTGGACCGATTCTTAAAGACGATATTTCTTTTATTTCTCCATTTAAATGATAAAAATGAAAACGGTATTAACAAATGTTACATTAGGTCTCAATTTCAAAGAAATTTAAATAAACATTAACAGCTTATAGTAAATGGGGACGATTCATTAGCTTCACATGATCTCAGTGTTTTTGTTGGACGCCCACTTTGTTTATAATAAAGTTTTTGCATCCCTTCCATGTCAGTGGGCGGCCATCGTGGGGCACCCGGGGAGCAGTGTGAGGTTAAGGGTCTTGCTCAGGGACCCAGAGTGGCAGTCTGTGGGAGTGGGGCTCGAACTGAAAACCTCTGAATTCCAGGCTCTATGCCCTGACCACTAGTACAGCCCCCCGCCAACTCTACTTCAAATTGGAGATGCACCGTTTGAATATCGACCCTGATACCGACTCGTTATCTGGATCGGATATCGAAGAATTTGAGAGACAACATAGTAATAATCCAAGTTTGTACATTTCCATTGCTGATCTCATTAGTGCGTCTAGTCGTCTGTAGCTACCAATGAATGTGAACCAGATGGATCACAGCATGAAACTTTACAGACTGGAGTTTTCTCCTTGGGTTAGCGTTCACAGTACCGAGTGATGCCTCTGTTGGTCGCCATGATGAGAACAGGGGACAGGTCGCTCTCCAGGGCACGGTTCAGGAAAGAGAAACACTCCATGTCCAGCATGTGGACCTCATCGATAAACAACACCTGGACACACAGACCAAGGCTTTCAGTAACACGTTAGCCGAGAACCAAAAACAAAAGGGACCCGTTTGTACGCACTCCAGGAATAATCTCTGCCTTTCCCTCCTCCCTCCACTCGCACACTTTGGCGTTAATCTGTTCTCGGACTTCAGACTTGATCTCTCCGGTGTCTCCAGAGAAGAGAGCCAGGAAGCCTTGTGTGCGGCTGTTGATGACATCGATCTCGTGGAGCGACACGGTGTGGACCACCTCCTTCCTCTTCTGCAGCTCCCCCTCCGGACACTGGACGAACTTTGTCTGAGGAAAAAAACAGAACTATGAAGCATCGCTCTGGTCTTTGCATCCTGAGCATAGAGCAAAACCCTTTTGCTGCCATTTTTTACCACGAGGTATTTTAGGAACCGTATCCACCAGCTTTATATGCCCAGAGACGCTGACGTTCTCACTCCAGACCTCTAGGTGGCAGTAATACACCTCTAGTTGGTTTGGTGCCACAAAAAGGTAGAGCAGCAACTCGTGTGCAGATTCACACATATTTAAACAGTAAAGTCCTGTGACCAAAAGCTTTCAAGATTCCCATGAAATAAATAAATGTGAAATGAAATAAGTATTAAAATATATTTTTTAATCCAATACATAATTAAAACAATAAATATGCAAATACATTTGGAAAAGGCACTTTTAAACAACTTATTGTACCAATAAATATAAATAAATTTATAATAATCATTTATAAATTTAAATGTACTTTTAAATAAATAAATGTATCTAAATACATATAAATTTCACAATATATTTGCAACTAAATATAGAATTAAGTTTTAACATATATTCTTAGAGAGTCGTCAGTCTGTTGCATTGTTATTTTTCGGGTCAAAGGTTGAAATGTTTAGAAGATTCTCTTCCAGCCTCTGATGGTTGAAGAAAGCCTTACCTCACAGCATGATACAACCACCACCATACTTTATCATGGCAGAAACATTGATCTGATAACTACTCTCAGTGCAGGAACCAACAGCTTCAGTTCACTTCAAATTTTTCAAGGTCTTATTATTTGAATTTCTTATTTTATAAATTTGGTATTTTTAAAATTTCCGATAGAAATGCTTCTTTGCTCCTCACCCCAGAGGAAAACCCACCCCCAGAAGTGAGGAAAATCTAACCTGTATATGAAAAGAATGTAATTTCTTAAATTCAAGTATTTACATTTCAGAAAAAAACTATTTCATTAAAGAAAAGCAGAAGAAATACTATCAAAACATCTTTTTGAGTTTCATTTCTGGATATCGTTTTCTTCTATTTTAATTTCGCCAAAATTTTCTTTGTTTGCAACAATAATGGAACAAAGTTCACTCCATATCCATGAATAGAGCTTCCTGAAACGTCCAGAATCTGGATGCCACTTAGATCCTAAATGATTTAATCTTCCCTGATCTGTATGTGCTGCAGCTTGGTCTTCAAGATGATGCTCATTCATATTTTATTCTTTAACCTCTTAAGGTCCACCGGGTCGCCGGCAACCCAGTGGACCTTAAGTGGGGGTAATAATTCAGAATGCATAAAATTCCACCGGCAAATGTTTACCAGCAGGTGGAGCCATTGCACGCAGCTCCAAGTTGACACCAATAGTTCCAATCCCCACAGCTCTGGAACTGTTATAGCTAGAGGTCTGAAATGTTCTGCATGTGTGGTTGACATGATGTAGAACAAATAATACAATAAAACCTGCCTTTTCTCAAGAATGTCTTTATTACTGCTTTTCAAAAAAGACCTAACATTTCCGAGAATAAAAAAACAACAACTTTGAGTCATGTTTGAACTAATGCAGGTTGGTCTGTGTTCTAGTCACCCAATTTTATATATTAGGGAACTAGAGGGTGTTAGCTTATTGCATTTAACATGCAATTTGGGCTTAAGTTATTTGCTTTTCCATTTGGGCATGCAAAATAGGCGAGGATTACCCAAAATGAGGCAGATGTTAAGAGGTTAAGAAACCCCCAAAGAAATGAGCTGCACTGGTAAAAAAGGGCCCCGAATATAAATGTGTGTCACGCAGGATTAATATGGTGCTACAAACGCTGCTTTGTTTCCCATTTCACGGTGTTAGGTCGACCTTGTGCTGCTTTAGGCATCATCTGTGTATTGTATGTACAGTGGTGCTGCATTATGCCATTTGTAGTGTAACCATTTGGCCATCTATAGCGATTTAGCATAGCTGTACATGTCTCTGCAGTGAGACTTACCTGAGCTCCCATAGCGTCGTAGTCTCTGGCTCTAGTGAAAGAGCGACCCAGCTTGGTGATCTTACCGGTGGCTTTGTCGATAGTGATCACGTCTCTGAGATACCAGGGCAGCACAAACAACATTTGTGAGATTCTGCCGAGTATCTATTATATCAGAAAGAACAAACAAAGCAGAGAAACTCACCCGGCTTGAACCTTCTCTTTGCTCAGACTGTCAATCATCTTGTTGCCCAAATCATATATAGTCTCCATCTCAGTGGTCTTCAGGGTCAGCTTGCCCACCTTTGCACCCTGATTGAAACATGTTCATCATATTAGTGTCCTTAAACATACACTGCATGCCTTCTAGTTTCAGCGACGGGGAGCAGAGACGATAGGTAAAGCAGCTCACCGTTCCAGTGGCAGGTCTATCAATCTGGATCTCCACCACCTCTCCTTCAATGATCTCTGTTTCCTCCCTGCCAATAAACAGTAAATGAGTTTGTTGAGTGTAAAATCAAGACTGTTTACAGACTGGTCACTGCAGCGAGTCCCTCACTTGATTCTCACTCCGATGGCTTTTCTAAAAGCTTGGCTCAGCGCCTCAGTCTTGCTCATTTCCAGAGAGAAGATCTCACTCCCAGCCAGAGCTGTGAAGGGCGTGTCGGGCCCAAGAGACTGAGCTATGCCTGCAGGAGGACAAACCCAGGTAATGTGGAAGAGGGAGAAGAGACCCTGTCTCTGCTTAAATGTAACTGAATCCAATTACATCCTTGCAATAACAAAAAGAGGATACTGTAGCTCTCACCCATAGCAATGGCAGTTTTCCCGGTGCCAGGTTGGCCGGCGATCAGGACGGCCCTGCCAGCGATGTGGCCGTCTTTAATCATCTCCAGGATGACCCCTGCTGCCCGGCGGGAGGCCAGCTGGCCGACCATCCCCTGAGACACCTGCAGGTGAACAGGACAGGTCACCTTCAGCACAACCTCAACACCTTCTGATGCGCACCAGTACAGAAAAGAATAATTAATCATGTCTAGTGCAACGCTGCTTCCCAAAACAAAAACATTTACAGAAAAATAAAAAAATAACAGAAACAAAAGCATTGTCTTTACGGTCTTATTGATCAAAGATTGTGTGGAAACTCCAGAGCCCAAAACGCAAAAATCACATCCAAAATATATTTTTTTAACATATATCACACTGTGTGAATGCAGAAACATTTTTTTTTTAAAAAGACACGTATAAGTTTGCAGACGAGGCTCCGCCTAACATCGGTCCTTCCACGCTCCCACATCCGACCAGAAATAAACCGTTACGCACTGCGGGAATTTTATTGCATAATTAAAGGAGACAGCTGAACCACATTTCTCTATGGTTACCAATGGCAACCAGGGGACATAAACAAGACATGCAAGCAGTGTTATGCTTAGCGGCAGCTGGGATTCTCAGCTTTATGGATAAATTTACAGATTTATTTTGTGTCTAAAATCTTCAGGCAGTGATCATGTTTAGCACATGTTGGGAAATGTAGGCTGTTAATAGAAGACATAGAAGTTGAAACCCTGCATAAGCTACCCACGGGGTCTGTTTCATGAACTTATTATCTTTAGATGTTGATTAATCTCTCTATTAACAGGGAAAGCGAGTTATTTTGGATCTTTGATAAACCTCGGCCCGAAGCCGAGTCCTTTTGTGCCCAAACTAAATAATCTACATACACACATCTATAATTTTTAAATGAGGATGAAATCTTATATAAAGCATGCAGTGCTGGTTTTCCATATTCTTATTCTTTCAGTGCTGTGCACCCAGCTGCCCCTCTGGTATTTCGTATATTGTTGCAGTGCACACCGGCATCCTGATGAACAGGGATGATGTGGGTTCAGCAGGTCGGCCTTTTCAGCACTGATAGATCCAGGAGATGTGCTCTGATCAACCATTAGTCACCATCTGATACCGTTAGTGATCCAAAAAACTTGTTCCCACCTGATTCCCCCATTTTGAGCGTCCTCCAGCACAATAGCTATTACGAGCATCGCAGCAGGAATAAAATCTCTACAGTAATTGATGTGACGCCTTTTGACTAAGGTGTTGATCTGTGTTGAATGTGATGGAGAGAAAAAAGGTAATATTGTGTGCTTTGATTTAAGCTGCTCAGGCCTCTTGTAACGTTACACAAGTCACGGTTTTTCTTCAGTAAAGCAGCTGATGGGAAAATATTAAGCATTTTGTGATTACTAAAAGGTTTGCTAGAATTTAGCTTGTTTTGTTTTATGATAACGAGTCGGGCTGTCGGTTTAAGCATTAATGTTTAAGGGCCCTGTAGTCACACCTTGACAATTTAGCATATGCCTGATGCCCCAGAATGTCTTAAAACGCTGGCATACGCTGAACTTTCAATGTATTTTCAATACATTGAAAGATATAAAATGGGCATTACGCTGTTAAAGCTGCTCCCCACCGCTGATTGGGGTACTAAAGTAGCTGCTGTTTGCCGCCCACCCAGACAAAAAGAAAAATAAATAAAAAGAAAGAAAGAAAGGTTTGCAGCTGGCAGCAGATTCAGCATCATGTCTGCTAGGAAGTTTGTTGGCCGTGGGCGTGAGCGCAGGGAGGATCCATCTTGCTCACTTCTCGCTTTACGCTATGATGGCAAAGAAGTCTGGAGGAGAACTGACGGTTTCCTCCTGTGAACCTCCTTAAACCAAAATGCTGCCACTATGCTATTACACAGTAGCTGGAAGTTAGAAACACGTCAAATATGATGATATGCGATTGAGATAAGTTCTTGATAAGTTAGGCTCACATTACTCATAGGTTTTGGATAAGCTAGACTAGGGCTGGGCGATATAGAAAAAAAGCTTATCGATAAAAAAAAATGCATATTGATCGATATCGATTATTGAAAAGATTTGAAACCATATTTTATGTGCAGCTCTGCCTGGACTTTTTATAATATTGCTAAATGATTTAATTTTAATAAAAAACACAAACACAGACTTCGAATAAAATCTTTATTTAACCAACTTTTTTAACCATAACAGAATTGTTTTAAAGAAAAATAACTTAAGAGACCTGAGTTATGTTATTAAATACTGACAAAGAATAAACTAAAATGACCAAAATAAATATAACAAATAAATAAATGCCCCCCCACCGCCGCCGCCGCCCCCGTTTCCTGCTTTAACCTGAGTTATTACTTTGAAGTTTCTGGCCCCTCAGCATTTTTATCTCACTTGTTAGAACTACGTGGGAAACTGCCCAGAACTGAATATATATTTTCCGAAGATTCCTCGGAGTAGTACACAGCTCATACTCCTGCGGCTGTGAGCGGCTGAGATGATAAAAAAAAGTTGGTTTCGTTATCAGACTGGTTTTCACTGGTTCCCGACACATTTTCCAGATGACTGTGGTTTGTTTTTGGTCCGACTTGCCATGACCGAAATACTGCCAGACTGCCGAACTACAAAAACCTTTCTTTGAAACAATTTCCTCCGTCTCTCCTTGCTGCACAGCTTCATATGCTCTGTGTTGTGGTTTGAGAGGGCGGCGCTTGGTGACGGCGTGCCTGGGTCCGCGATTGTGATTGGTTGGGAGGAAGTAGTGACTAGCATAAACCTACATGATAGGCTACAATGAGAAGGAAGGAAAACTGCGTTTCTTTTTTATCGAACTTTTATCGACCCTCTTTTTTTCTATTTTTCTATCGATCGATATATATCGTTATTGAATTATCGCCCAGCCCTAAGCTAGACGCCACGACTTAAGAGCAACTTACACTTAAGGTATGTCAATGATCAGATAACTTAGCTGTAACTTATAGCCCACATATGAGCATACGCTGGTATACGTCGGGAACGTTTGAGCATGCTCTAAATTTCTCAACGTACTTGGCTTGCGTCGATGTGTGCCAGCATGATTCAGCGCACTTCAGCGTGCTCATAACTTTAAAAAAAAAACGTACCCATAACTTATCCAAGGTATACCAGCGTTTTTGCAAGATTTTCCGTAAGTCAGGCATATACGTTTCCTCCAACATGTGTGTCAATGTTGGCGTTAGAGTCTGCATGTTTCGACGCCAAGTTAGTTTTTCATGAAAACCTTTACATAGAAAGTGACGTACGCCAGTTTCAGGCCTTTCTCCGTTTCTACGCAAACTTGAGAAATCAGACCCCTGGTTCTTAAAGCTGGAGGAAAGAATAATATTTATTTAACCAACAGTTATGAGTTTAGGACCCTGTATTAAGTGCAATAGAAGAACCATAAAAGAACTTATACAACAAAAAATGTAAAAAAAAAAAAATAAATAAAAATCACTGGCTGAAATTTAAATGGAAAACAAAATTTATAATTCAGTAACACATCTAATCCAACTTTACAAAAAGCTCCAACAGTTTTGTTCCTTTGTTTCAGGCAGATTAACAAGACTAAAACAGCTCTAGGTAAAGCGCTCGTTTAGGGACATCTGTGCTGAAGAATAGAATATAATAACTAAATAAATAATCAACTAAATAAAATAGCCTGAAGAAGGACATCTCCTCTGTTCAATTGTTAAAGAGGAAGCCCCACTGATAAAAACTAAAAGCCTTGTCCAACCTGTCTTGGCTCCAAAGCATCATCCAGACCAAGGCCACGGATGTGAGAATGTGCCCCTAAAACAAGAGGTGACAAGAGAGCAGACATCAGCCTCATTGGAAAGATTAGAAGAAGAGGCCAAAACAGATGTGGATTCTTACCAATTCGCTCAATCCGTGTGATGTCACGGACCTCTGGAACTTTTGTAGCCGCCATCTGCGCCAGCGGGACCAGCAGAAAAATCTGAAATCTAGACCACAAGTGGAGACAGTCGCATTTAGACCTTTGGAGTTTGAATGAGCTATAAATCTTATATAAATTCATTAAACTTTCATCAAGCAGACATAGTTTGTAATTTCATAAAAAATATGAGACATAAAAGAATAAATCCATTCATGGGAAGAAGGTTGGATTTAATGTGATAGTTATCTTTGTGGAACTGATTCTTACCTGGATGCTACCATTATAGTTACAATCACAACCATCAGCATGAATTTAAAAAAAGCTTCATACATAAAGGATAATAAATTAATCAGCTAGTTAGGAATGAATAAGAGCGGTCTTTGCCTTAAAGAGGTTGTCACAGTGATGACTGTAACAATGTAGGCAGGAAGCCTCTTTTTGATTTGTCAAAGAACAAAATTAACAGAGACATGGTGTCCCATCTGTTGATACCTGGAAATTACTTAACATTTCATTATAAGCCAATACTGTGATAACAACATAGAATTTTAGCTAAAATTTAGCCAACTGATTAAATAAGATTTTATACAGAATTTAAATCAATTCAAGCTGATTACCTGAGAAGTTCTGAATAGATTATTCTTCACAGCAATTAAAAAAATATGACTACTCTAAGTGGGTTAGTGTATCAGCTAGATACATGGTTAAAGTCTGTGATCTCCAATTAATTAGTGGACAAATATTGCAATAATCGATTAATCACTTATTATCCGATTAGATGTTCCAGCCCTACAGAGGTTCCATTTAATTCCATTAACAGAGAAAATGAAAGAGGGTAAAAAACTGAGAAAGAAAGATTGCTGGGAGCTTTCAGTTTAATATAAAAGTATTGTATCATCATTAAACATAGAATAATCTTGTTGGCTATTTAGGAATCTCTGTGAAAGATCTGTTGGGTTCAATTGGTTGTCATAGTGACAGCTGCGACTCATGCCACAACACAACGATTCAGGCAGGCAGCATGTTAAAAAACAGTTAATGTCGCCAGAAAGTTGTTAAATATTAACAACAAAGCGATGCGTTCATTTCGTTAATGCATATTTACGACAGGAATGATTGCAAATGTTGCTAACGGTAGCTAATGTTGTGCTAGCTTTTAGCTTCCTCCATTCATAGCTTTCCCTTAAATCTGTAGCAACACAGCTTGTTGAATGAGGACCCCACCAAGACCCACGTTAATTAAAAAAAACTTCACTTTAGCAAACACTCAACCACACCCGCGTGTAACACAGTAAAATTATACGAAATACACTTCACATGTTTACAATACAGCGTGTGCGCTTACCTTAACGTGAGAATGCGGCGGCGGCGCTTCTTCAGAAGATGCAACACCCCAATGTGTCCGGAGCGAAACAATTCTCTCTCTTTTTTGTGTTCCTGTGCGCTCTCTGTTCGCCTCTGCAGATGCGGTGAGAAGTATTCGAAGCGAAATTGAGCACAACGCATGTTTTACTTTAAAAATCCCATTAAGATAGGTAAGCAGCTATTTTATATTTATATCTATTATTATAATTAGTATATTCATTCAATCGTGATTTGGAGTCGGACCATTATAACTCCAGTAGAGCTCTGTATATCTGAAATAATTCTATTAAAGTTTATTGTAAATAACGACTACTGTTTCGAACATGAACTTTAAACAGGTTGCGTCAGTTTATTATTTAAGTTTTGTAAAAAATTATTAATTCACATCACAAATTAAAGTTAAAAACCTATTATCAAAACATGTCTTCTTTTAAATCTAATCTGAATTTGATTTATTGGATGGTGTATGACGTAACAGCAATATCATTTATTTCTGTGGTATTATCTGGAGTGCTTAAAGTTATTTGTTTTTAATCTGATTATGTAATGGAGATTACATGTTTTCCTCTATCACCGAAACATGTATATTAGAAAACCAATACTTCTCTATGGGGGTGGGGGGGGGTTCAGTAATATATCTCAAAGGTGGAAGCTTGCTCATTTACAGGCTTTAACTTTTGTCACAACAATCTGCAGTATAAGTACCAAAAGTGCGTTTAAAAAGAAAAAAAAATGCAATGCTGTAGACATGTCACCAGCAGAGGCTGCAATACTCAAGCATTAGATGTTTATGATCTGAGCCCGCTTTGCAAACTATTCATGAAATTACATCCTTAATGCATACATGTTATGGATAATTTTTTTTTTAATAGACTGATAAATCTTTCAAATAGAAAAGAAATATATAGATTGTTTAAAGTCGTTTTTTTGTCTCTACAAAAACTATGAAAAGTTTCTTATTTATTTAATCAGTTAGATCTGAATAAAATCCAAGGCCACCAACTCCTCCAGGACAGTGTGTTCAGTTTTATCTCAGTATAATTCATGCTGTTGAATGAAAGCCTCTGAGTTTTGTCAGGGATATTAACAATAAACACCGCAGTGAAGTCAGGGATACAGTTGTTGGGGCGTTTCAAGTGGGGTTTAGGTTAAAAAAGAAAACTTTAGACTCTGAGCATCTCATGCAACTCTTTTTAATTCTTCATATAGAGATAAAAGCCTGCGGCTCAACTAGAAACCCTATGAGACTTGGTTGTCCAGGTGAGCAGACAGGCCAGGAAATGTAGAGTATTGGATCAGTTCAGAAGAAAAAAAAACTTTGAAGTATTAGGATGGCTTAGTCAAAGCTCAGCCTAAATTCTAACTGAAAATCTGTAGCAAACCTTTAAAATGATTACAAAAGCATGTCAAATAATTAATTTTTTCTATTTTCAATTGTAAAAATGCTTAAAAAAACATCTCTACCTGCAGAGCCAACCTGCGCATTTTTAGTTACTCACTATGTGTATAATATTAACTGACAGGTTGTTCTCCACAGCCAACATTGTGGGTTGCATTAAATTGCTTAATCAGACAGTTGGAATAATGGTTTTGTCAAACTCTAGTCTTTAAGTTTTGTTTTCATGCAGCTTGAAGATGTATCCCTGAATCAAAATGTGGAACAGTCCCTTCAGCATCAATACAGAGTTTTGCTAGAGACCAAGAAGCATATATATGTATATAAAAGGTACAGGGCAGCGACCTGCAGGAAGCTTTTTGTGATCCTTTCTTTATATGAATCTGAGGAGATCAGGCTGTTGTTATCGTCATACATTTCAGCAGGGTTTTATTCATCTGTGTTGTGCAACCGTTAAGCTAATTTTTAATTAAAAATGTAAAAAGCCTTAATCTTCAGAGGCATTAATACAAACTTCATTTCCTGAGTATAAGCTGGAGCAGAATTTCATATCCTTTCTACATTGTTTTTTTATTGCCCCCTAAGGAGAAGGTTACAATATTCCACTGTTACTTCTTTTTCCAACATGACTCCAAATGGAAGCAAACTCCAAACTTTACATGCTAGGTGGTTGCAAGAAGTAGAAAATTCTGAGTTTTATTAAACAGAAGGGAAAAAATAATGCATTTTAGAGCCTTTCAGTTACTCCTCACCTGTTTCTGTATAGCTCTCCACAAGTTTCAGCGCACTACAAAACCAACACCCTACTGTTTAGAAAAAAGCTTGTTACGTTCACACGTTGTGCCTCTGTGAATGAGTAAGAAAATCTCTTTACTTTATTGTTCACTTAGCATTTGTTTGTAAAGGTGGAAATTTACATTTTATGCTGAAGGCAGGGGGGGATTTAACATTAGGCAATAGTAGGCAGGTGCCTAGGGCCCCCATTTCCTGGGGGTGGGGGGGGATAAACTCGTTTTACATGTATGGTTAATACAACTATCCTACATTTCTGCACATTAATTATGTTCTTGATAAAAAATCCTTCCACTAAAATGCAATCAGAACGCTTATAACATTAAGTGTGTCTCAGCCCCCCCTTTAGTGTCCACCATATTGGATCAGTCCATACAGACAGCAGCAAACCATTTGAAAACAAAGGATGCGAAGAACTTAGCTCTTTAGTCGCTATATTTAGCAACTTTTCAGACCCGTCTAGTACTTTTATTTCAAAAAATTACCTAGCGCCAAATCTAGTGACTTTTTTCTGCTACTGGAGACTTTGGCTACAAGATCCAAAAGCAGACAACTCTGCTCTCCAGAGCAAGTAGATTAGTAACCCCGCCTCCTGCTCTCCTCTATCTTGTCTGCTGTCATGATTCATGCAGCTATTATTTCATCCAAATGAAAAATGGAGAACAGATAAGCAGATCATGGCTTGTCTACAGTGAAAAGAAGGACTGGGTTATTTACTTTTGCTTTCACCTTTTTGGAAACACAGGAAGGAGCAATCAGCTAAGTGAGCTTTGTGCCTGGAAAAAATTTTCCATTCCTTTTGAGACGGCATGAAAAGTCAGCTGAGTAAAAAACATAGAGAGGAAAACAACAAGAAAAGGGACAAGAAGAGAAGGACAAAACCTAGAACAGATAATGGATGTCTGTTCTATTAACAATTTCTGTATCTGTATAATTGGTCTGTTTTATGTGTTGTCTTCACAGTTCAGAGGGCCTCCTGCCTGTCTTTGCCTGGGGCCCCGAAATCCCTAAATTCGCCCCTGCTGGCAGGTAAGCATGTATGGTTTGCTATCTTATTGAATAAGACATCAAGTGAAGCTGAGGAGCAATCAAACACCTTTTGAATTACAATAAATGTCGAATAATGAAAATAACTTTAATAGCAAATAATCAAACCATACATCAATCAGTGACAGTATTTGGAGTTACTCCATAAATGCTTTCATCCTAACATTTGTTCATATTAAGGCATAGAAAATTCCCACTCCATCTTATAACAGCTTCCCTTTGATCAAAACACATATTTAATGTAAAAAACAAAACAAAACAGCAAATGTATTTTTGTTAGATAGATGCATAGATATGTAGAAAAAGTAATCACAGACGGCGTACTGTGGTCACTGGACGGATATTATTCATTCACAGCTGGGTGAGGGTGATTGCAGACTCATACCAAACCCAGAACCCAGGATAGACAGGCTCAGTAAAGGAGGCCTTGAAGCGGTGGAGGAGGGACATGGTGTCTCCTACGGCGTAGAAGGAGAGAGCGCCGCCGTCGTAGTCCAGGAAGACCCCGATACGAGAGGAGTAAGGCGCTTTGATTTCTATCTGGTCCTTGTTGTGGCGGGCCGAGTAGCTGGAGTCCGAGCAGAAGAGGCTCCAAGATTTGCGGTTGTACCCGATGCGGCAGCTGTCTCCGTAGCCCGTCCTCTTGATGCCCTTGTAGGTGACTCCGATGGCGGCGCCCTCCCCGCTCCAGTCTACTTCCCAATAGTAGACGCCTCCAGCGAGGTTTTCCTTACACAGGACCTGGGGCAGGGAATCAAACCTGGCAGGGTTGTCGCCATAAGATTGGGGTTCTCTCTTTAGGGCGGCCTTTCTGTTCCCTCGAGACAAATAGAGCTGTCTGTAGGCTGTGTTTGGGTCCAGAGTGAGCTGGCAAGCATCTAAATGATAAAAAAAAAAAAAAAAAAACAGATAAAAACATCCACTCAGCAATAGGAATGATTTAACTTAAATTGCTTGGGGTTAAATATCAATGAGTAAACCAAAGGAGACCCTCACCAGCGCACCACTAACTGTTAGGTCCCAGAGGTTAGCAGAATCTAATTAGCATTTCCACCTCTGTTAGATGTTTAACTAACGTTTGCAGAAGCATGCTTTGCAAGGGGGGAAATAAAAAGCAGGAGACCCTCTGGCTGGACACACACAGAATCAGAAAAATCTCAGCGGTAAAATGTCACCTGCCTGCTGTGTACCTCCACCTCTGCAGGTCACAGTAGGTGGGACACCCGGTTGCCTCGTCTAGTATGGCCCGGCCTTTGATCTGGAATGCCAGAAGTATTGACACTGTTTGTGAATTCAACCACAAACAGAACTGAACAAAGACTGCCTAAGAGCTCAGATCAAGGACCTGGGAGACTCCATGTCAGTGTAAATATCAGCTTCTGGACGCCATATTTCAAACACTTAGCAAAGGAGCAGAACGGAACAGGGAGAGGCTTGCAAACTAAAACTAAGCTGAAAAATCTCAAACCTCCTCGAGTGCCAGCATGCAAAAACCTTTGCAAAGACTCAGCCCCAGTCTCTGTCACCACTGTTAGACTTGTAGCTGTTTCTGATATCAGATTATGTGGTCAGCCACAGGGTCTGACAGAGAGCCAACATTAGCATCTAATTTGCCTCATGCGCTGGGCTGAAGAAGAGGAAGCAGTAAAGAGTTTCACAGCAGAAACGGAAACTCACATCTTAAGAAGTCGTCCCTGTAGTGAGGTTCCTGGACAGGTACAGCCTTGTACATCACAGCCTCGTCACCTGTAGAAGCAAAGGTTATAAAAGAAAGGATCAGAAACAATGGAGGTCATTTCTGTCTGCAGGTCAACCCTGATAGGCCGACACTCC